AGGGCTGACCTCATTGAACCTGCAGCTATGGTTGTTCAAACAGCTCCTGGAAATAGCAATAGCCGAGGAAAAAGATGACCAGTTGAGAAAAAACCACCACCACATTGCTCACATTGTAATAATGACTACCATACCATTGATACATGCTGAAAACTTAATGGCTATCCACCAGGACACCGTCTTCATGGAAAATTTCTAGCTACTTCTGGTGATTCCAGTTGTCCTAGTAGACTTGAAAAGAAAGGGAGCAGAATATCATCAATCAACAGCGTAACAACAGACTCTTCTTCGCCCATCCTTACTGCAGACCAGTTTCAACAACTTTTATCTATGATGATTCAAAAATTGGGCCTTGATTCTAAGGCCAATGTTGATGGTGGAATTCCTTCTCTTCAATGGGTTATAGACAGTGGTGCTACTGACCATGTATCTAATCTCCCATTAACTAATTCCACTACAAATCCGTCTCTACCGCCAATTGCGTTGCCTGATGGGACTCGAGTCCCCATCAATTCTGTTGGGACCTACAATTTTGGCACCAAAATTTCCCTTTACAATGTTCTTGGGATATCTTCCTTTTTGATCAATTTAATTTTCGTTAGTCGTATTACTCGATCATTGGGATGTTCAGTAATATTTTATCTTGATTTCTGTATTCTACAGAACCTGGAGACGAGGATGATGATTGCTTGGGGACGACAACGTAATGGACTCTATTGTTTGGTGGACTCCAAGCAATAGATGTCAAATACAACTACTTCCTCTCCAAAGGCATTATCCATCACATGGCATCGCGGACTTCGCCACCCTTTCACCTTTGTGCCTGCAAAGGTTAGCTAAGAATCTTCCTGAATTTTCTTATTCTTCAAATAAACCTTGTGACATTTGCCCTTTGGCAAAACAAACTCAATTGTCTTTTGCATTAAGTCGTATTAATACTAAGCGTGCTTTTGTACTTATACATTATGATATTTGGGGACCCCATAGAATACCATCCCGTTCTGGTGCTCGTTACTTTCTTACTATTGTTGATGATTTTACGAGCTACACTTGGGTCTATCCAATGCACCATAAATCAAACACGCAAGCATTTCTCAAGTCCTTTATTGTTTATACTGAAACATAATTCCACCAGAAAGTTAAAACAATTAGAACCGATATATGCATAATTTCTATAGTGATCATAGCATTATTTTTCAACGTTCCTGCGTCTCTACCCCTTAACAAAACGGGGTAGTAGAACGTAAACATAGACACATTCTTCAAACTGCGCGAGCTTTGATTTTCAATCTCATATGTCATTGAATTTTTGGGATGAGTGTGTACTCACATCTGTCTATATCATTATCCCACTCCACTCTTATGAGGCCTCACGCCTTATGAGAAATTATTTGGCCATGCTCCCTAATATACTCATCTTAGTACTTTTCATTGCTTGACCTATGCCACTAATCTTTACCCACAACACAAATTTGATGTTCGAGCAAGAAAATGTTTTTTATTGGGTGCCCTTTTGGGCAAAAAGCATATAAGTTATATGACCTTAATTCAAAGATCATTTTTACAAGTCAAGATGTCACATTTCATGAAAACATTTTTCCTTACTAGAAGCTACAACTCAGCTTTGACAATATAAACAATACCGATGTTAATCCAACACCCGTTACTCCAACAGATATTGAACCAACACTTATCACAGAAATAAATATTGAGTTAGCGCCAATACAAATTCGATCCAACCCTCACATATAGATAAGTGAACCTGAGCCTACCATTGTCGACAAAATTGAACTGGAATCAACCACTCTAGATGGTGTTGCCAATCTAGAACAACACAATGACATCACCCTACCTGATGAACCTGTTTCTTCCTTACGACATTTTGATCGCAATCGAGTACCACCAGCTAAGCTCCGTGATTATATTTGTCCTACCATTAGGTCGTTCCCTACATGTTCCTCGATCTCTAGTCCTAATACAAGGTATCCCCTTTCCAATTACTTGACATATCAAGGACTCTCTCAACCATATCAATTTTTTATTGCAAAATTATCTTCTGCTTTGGAACCCGACAATTATGCAGAGGCCTCTAAATATTCTGAATGGTGTCAGGCCATGAATGAGAATCTCCAAGCTCTTGAGACAAATGACACATGGACACTATGTCCTTTACCAACAGGCAAGGTACCAATTGGATGTAGGTGGGTCTACAAAATTAAACGAAAATCTGATGGGAGTATCGAGCGTTACAAAGCTCATTTGGTTGCTAAGGGCTATACTCAATTGGAAGGAATTGACTACCATGACACCTTTTCTCCAACCGCTAAACTTGTTACTTTCCGATGTTTACTTTCACTCGCTGCTGCTCACTCATGGTCTCTTCATCAACTCGATGTTCATAATGCCTTCCTTCATTACACACTTATTTAGCTCACAAACATGACTTAAATATGGACAAAGTAATTGAATTGTGACTTAATCTCGTTAAATTCATGCAATGTAGGTGTTTCTATGGAAAAGATAGAATTTAGAAGAAAAGAGCTGAAAAGGACCAAAACGGAACAATGTGATAGTTCGGGGACCAAAGGTAAAAATATTGGAAAGTTAAGATAAAGTGCAGAACGAGAATGAAAATATGCCAAGTATGAGCTTGAGGACGATACAAGATGATCGGAGGAAGAAAGAAGTAATATTGGATTGAATTGAAGAAAAGTGAAAGATGAAGGACTAAATTGCAATTAATCCAAAGATAAGCCGAGCAAGTGATCAAGGAATTGATTGACCCAAACGTCAATCAGGAGTCAATATTTGATGATGGAACAAAGGAAAGAAAGAAAAGAGATTAAGAAAAGAGAAAACGAAGTTCAGGGACCAAAACAGCAAAGTTAAAAATTACAACCTTTCAGCCGCACAGAACTGTGCCATGCGGCCGCACAGAAGGTTGCAGTGATTCCATGAGCTATTTCACTTGAACCATGCGGCCGCATGGCTATAAAGAACAAAAAAAATTCTGAACTTGCATTTTTTATTGAAATTCTTTCGGGGCTCCGTGAGGACATAATATAAAAGCCAAAATTCATCAGAAATAGGGTAGAACGTCTAGAGAGAAGAAAATTACAACTTTTGGAGGCAAGAAACACGATCTTGAAGTCGATTCCACAATAATTCAAGCGGGCTTTCAATGCTTCATTCAAGATTTCAAGATATTTTCATATGGGTGCTATTCTTTCAATTTATTAATTTCGTTTTTTATTCTGTAATTATGAATATTCGAGGCTAGATTTTCAATTCACTAGGTGATCGATGAACCATTGTTTGTTATTTTAAGTCCATATTTTATGATTTTAATATAAAAACTCCTTTGGACAATTTGGTTGGTTTATATGCATTGATTTTCTTCCACAATTAGTGGCCAATGATTGTGTGAGTGTTGATGACTTATTTCTTACATTCGAGAGAAGTGGAATAGGGTCGATAAGATGTAAATCAACATAGGGTCCGATAGGGAATAGAGATATACCCTTATACTTTATGCAATTCTCTAATTGTTCACAAAACTACATGCATTCTTGTATATTTGCATCATCCATAGAGATATACGGTGGTGGTGTGCAGGTCTAATATATATTGAGAGAATATGTTGGATAGATTTAGTAACATTGAATTGGCAAATTTCCATCGGGTCATTGATTTTATGAAATTAGGGTTTTTATAGCTTCAATTGGAGATTCGTGATCCTAGTGACTTTATTTTGATTCATTTTCATAAATTAGCTTTTGAATTTGCATAATTTCATTTACTTGAGTGTTTGAGTCATTTAATTAGAGAAATTTCGAGATTAGGGTTCCTAATTGAGAAACTAAGGTTTTTGATTGAAATTAGGGCCTTTTGCATTTGGACCATATTTTCACTCAATTGACTCGGTTAAGGCTAGATTATATAGAATTGAACTACTCAATCTGTTGACGTTTTCTACCTTTTTGAAAAAAAAAAAAAAGAATTATTACAAATATTGTAATATTTATATATACTATTTTACGTATATAAATTTTAAGACTATTTCCAGCAGTATCTATACAAAGATCCAACCAATGTTTTTAGGTTTCTCACAAAGGCACCATTTTCCATAAAAAGAGAATCACCTTTCCATTACTCCTACCAGAATAAAAATTTTCAAAACAAAATACAAAATAAAAAATAAATAAAACAAATAAATCAAGAAAGCGAAATAAAAACCTAAAATTAATAAAATTTGGAAAGAAAAATACAAGCCAAACTCTCTCTTCCCACATGTCTACCATATTCTCTACAAGTGTGTGTCTACCATATTCTCTACAAGTGTGTGCATTAAGATTAGCACCTTTTGGTAAAATAAAACACCTTTCTTATCCGACGTTAGAGTTAAGTTGTCACTTCTATAATTGTTGTAGTTCTATTGTGAATTTATCTCTACACTACCAACTCGAGTTCTTCTGTGCCTTCAGTCCTATAAAATATAAGTATGGAACTATCAAGTTTATTTGAGTATCGTTGGCTGTCAAAAGAGAGTTTTTATGCTAAATATATAGGGGGTGAAACTATGATTTAAGCGAAGGCCTATACTTACGATTTTTTGTTAAATAGAGACATATTACCACTCAAGAAAGAAAATTACAGATTTGAGGGCTGGCAATTCATGAAATTTATCTTAAGAAAATCACTGCTCTTCCCACTCTTTTATAAACACATCAAATGGAGTCTTCTCCACCGTTATCTATGAAAAAACTATGCAATAATAAGAAAATTTCAAAAGAGTGGATAGAAAGTCATTTCCAGAGGCCATAGGCCATACTTTTAAAATGTGAGGAAAATTATATGGTATTTAGCCAGAGAACATCTAGTTCCATTCTCTTTCCCTAGATTTTTTCAACAAAAAGATAATATAAAGTGAATTAGAATAATACATTAAATTGAATTATTCCAAAATCTTAGTTCTATACAATCATCAAAGTGATACTTACTTGGCACGCATCCACAATTATGGAATCATCACGAGCAACTGCAAAGAATAAACTAGTTCAGCCAATGACAATGATAATGACAAAAGCCATAGAAGTTGCAGTTTAAGACAATGCTCGAAGGAAAATTTGCACTAACCGATTGCCACCTTTATCATGTCTTCCAAGTTGTTAAAGCACTTCCACTTCAATCATAGCTGCATCATGAACGATTTTGATGGCAACACTCCCAATTCAAGCAGATGAATCCGTCCTTTCTTACTTTAGGGATGTATTTTCACGCATCTTGATGTGTATTTTATCTGCAAATATATCACAGAAATACCACAATTAGAGAAAGCGATTTTATTAGCAAAATGATCTATATATCAAACAAGGAACATTAGTGGGTTCACCTTTCCAAAACCAGGTCATTCCAAAAACTTAATGGCAAGCTGAAAAACTTGAATTATATCAGATGAAAATATCAACAATTGTTGTACAGGCAAGTCGAACACATTTTCGACAATGTATTAAGCACGATTCATTCCATGTGTATATGTTAAAGTAAGTTAAAAGTTATGGGTCATGGAAAGGTGAAAATGAGATAGCAGTTGAAAAGGAAATTTTGCCTCCAAGCTCGAATATATAATGGCCACCTTTGTCATCTTCTTCCCTCGGTAGAGAACCATTTTGAGCCAAGCCCTTAACAAACCGATAACTAGCATAGTCTGTGCTTGAAGGTGCATAGCTTATTACATTCGCAATCTCTTGCCACAAAATCATCCTAGCTAAGCCTACACACAGGCATTTATTCATGTTTTTTCAAAAATCAAATATCATTAATTTTGTTTACCTCCTTGGCACCACCTTCGATACCCTTCCAAACACACTTCATCCATTGCATAGATAAAAACACCAAAACGTGGTTATCACAAAATAGATCATATGTGCATAGAATTAAATCTAAAAACCAAGAAAAATGCATCCCGACACAATTGAAAATCGTAAGAAATAACATGACTCACAAACCAATGAAAACAAAGCCCAAAGAAAAGCAGCCCAAAGAAAAGCCCTGTCATATCCATGATGCTTAACAAATTATAGTCCTGCTAATATCACGTTAACAAACCATTTACGTGTATAACTATGTCATGTGGGAAATAATTGGGGAAAAAGAATCAGCAAAACCAGAAATAGAGGAGGAGGAAGAAGGCAACAGGCTTAACTGATTTTGAATTCAAAAATGGTGTAGTGGCAACTTATCGAAACAGTGTCACTTACTTTGATTAATTGTAAAAAGCAAGAAACGTTTCTACATTTTACGAATTGAGAAACATGCTTCTTACTGGTATTATATCTACCTCCTTGTTCGAAGAAGGCAGTCGGTGTGTGTAATTGGATATTTTCAGTGCAATTGTTGAAATCATTCAAAAACTTTTCTCATCTCCCTTCTTCTTGTTTTGCCGTTCTCCCCTCCCCCTCCCCCTTTCTATTTTCTCTTTATTTGGTTACTATTTCAGCTGATTTCACTGGGAAATTTTCATTTCTGAGCTACGATTACAGTGAGGACCTAAGCTGAGTTCCGACTGTCACAAATTGGTATCAGAACAGGCACATATTACTGGGTAATTGATGGTCATGGATACAAGGTCTAAGGCAGTGGATGAACATATGAAGAGCTGGATCCGGAAATAGCTGATTTGGGTACAACTTTCAAATCTGTTACCAGCAGATTGGAGGCCAAATTGGAGTCCACAAATCAAAATCTCTAGGTATTTGTCTGTAGGCAAGAGAAATTTGAGGGTGCTATGTTGGACTTGAATCAGAAATATGAAAATTTAGTGGCCATGATGACCCAAAAGTCTTTAGATCTGAAAACAGAGCATAGAAACAAAGGGATCAAATGGTCGGTTGTTAATTGGAGGCCTGGGAGTATGATTTGCACACAAGGAGATAGTAGTAATGTGAATGATGCTCATGCTAGAGGTGAATTTAATGGAAATGGTAGACTCTAAAATTGATCTCCCTTTGTTTGAGGGAGAAGGACCTAGGGAATAGCTAAAGAAAGCTAGGAAATATTTCCTACTCCATCAAACTCCTGATGAACTTAGGTTGGACATTGTTGAGAAGTTCTTGGAAGGGAAAGCTTATATATGGTTTTATGGATTCATTGCAAACCATCCTTGGGTAGATTGGAGTTTATTTTCTGATGAGCTTCACTGGAGGTTTTTAGAAACTGCTGAGGAAGGAGTGGTCAAGACATTTAGCAAAATTAAACAACTGGGGCCAAATGAATATAAAAGGCTCTGAGTCTATAGAAGGATCAGGAGGTGAGGAAATGATGGAAATATCAGTTAGTGCTATAGCGTAAGGATGGAAGCTCGAAACCATTAAAGTACAAAGACAGAAGAGTGTCCATATTGATTGACAGTGGGAGCATCCACAGTTTTGTTGATGAAAAAGTAGCCAAGGATTTGAAATATGCCAATGATGGAACTAACCAGGTGTAGCCAATGGTGATTAACTGGAGACACTACAACAGAAACGCTCTTTCGCAACACTTAAAATACAGCTTTCATTGATTGAATGTTGCTAAAGGAGTATGGCAACATTCTAATAAGTGAATGTTGTGATTGGTTAATTTTATTGAGTTTTAGCAATATTTTTAAATGAATGTTGCAAATATTGCTTTTTGCAACGTGTGCCGAACGTTGTTAAAATATAATTCTATAACAACGTTTAGCGCCTGCTGCTGAAACATACTTTTGCAATGTTCTTTGAATGTTGTGAAAAGTTATTTTTTGCAAGTTTCTATTAAAAATCTTATTTTTTGCAACAAGATAAAGAAATTTCCTTTCACAATGTTCAATGGAAAAACGTTGCTAAAGGTCTCACTTTCTTTTGCCACGTGTATTGCGAAAAGTTTTTTCTCAATTATATGGGGGTACTTTTAAATTTGACATAGTCAAAAGACCTAAATTCCACTTTGACTTTCAAAATCATGAATATTATGACATTGGCCTCTTGTATGGTAAAAGACAAAGATGCCCTTAAAGGTTTTGTACAATTACAAAACAATATATTGTTGAAAGGACTTTACTACTCTTTTAGTTAATAATTGAAAACCAAACACTTCCCCACTTATAAAAACTTCAAAACGAGCTTCCAACACAGAAAAAACTCTCATCTTTTCATCTGCTTGAACCTCAAAATCTAGAAAAACTTTGAAACGTTGAACCCGAAATTTTTTTCATATCAATTACTTCAAATCGGTAAGTACATTTATGCATGTTTAATTTCGTTTTCAGTAAATTAGTATACGTTTGAATAGAGAAATTTTATGTCGACATAGTAGTTAGCATAAATCTTTTTTAACAGATCTTACCTATCAAAAAAAATTGAACAGATGTATAATATTTTTCTTTAGAACCGGAAAATAATTCGTGCACAAAAACAGCCAAACAGTCCGACTGTTTAACAGCCAAACAGCCGACTGTTCGGCCGTTAAACAGCCAATTAACACCGACTCTGCACTGATTTTTGTTAGCACTGATTTTTTCTTATAATGAATAAATGAAGTTGATTAAATCTATTTCTTCATGCAGATATGATAATCCCTGTCTGTTATTTCGGTGATTTCGAATTGAATAAAAATAATCGGTGGGAATGGAGATGAACGAGTGACAGATGTGGTTGTATTGCAATTTCCATAACAGATAGTACATCATACTTAGAAATGTACAACGATTTACAAAATAAGTTGAATGTCGATCAATCACAATACGATATGCAATTGAGATATCTATTCAACGGTTATGGAGATTCATCCATTCCGATTCCACCGGTAGTCATTACTAATGATGCTGAGTTGAATTATCTATTAGAATTGAATAAAATGTATCGGACTCCGACTGCTCTTGATGTGACTTTAGTTAAGAAGGATGTTATCGAAGGTGAACGCGAAGATTTAAATAGAGCGGATAATAATAATCGAGGTTTTTGGGAGACAGTGGAGATAGTTCCTGCGGATGATGTGGTTATTCTTGAGACAGTTGCTCCTGCTCGTGATGTCGCTGTTACGCATAGAATTTCGTCGACAGTTAAAGACAGTGAGAATATAAATGAGTTTACAAATGAGAATTTGATTGCTTTATCCCGACAGAGACATGAGATGGGTGGGAGCTTATAGGTTGGAACAAGTGGACCGTCCTCCAATTCTTCCCGTGTGGCTTCCGATGATGAGGACTTGCAGGTCGAGCAATTGTTTGAAACCAAGAAAGATTTGCAGGAAGTTGTGCACCGACTGGCATTAAAATATAACTTTGAATTCAAGGTAAAGAAATCAAACAAGTCATTGTTGACAGTTGCAATTGGCGCTTGAGAGCAATTAAGATGGACACGAATGAGTGCTTCGAAATTCGGAAGTATTCACGGGAACATACTTGCGAAGTGGAATTCTTCGAAACGATCACAGGCAAGCTCGAGCATGATTCATTGGTTGACATCTAATGCACAGTATCAGGACCCACGAACGATCTACAGACTTTCGGACATCATTAACGACGTCCGTGGAGAGTATGGAGTGGTCATGAGCTATCAGAAAGCCTGGAAGGCCAAATAATGTGCGTTGGAGGATTTAATGGGATCGGCTGAATAGAGCTATGCTATATTGGCTAGGTATTGCCATAACACGGGGACAACTAATCCTGGCACGACATTTTTTATTGAGACGAGGGGCGATAATTGTTTTAAGTATTTTTTCATGGCTTTCGGACAATGTATTCAGGATTTTCGAAATGCAATGCGACCTTTAATTCTAGTTGATGGTACAACTCTAAAAACTAAATATCAAGGTAAATTAATTATTGCTACATATCAAGACGCCAACATCCAAATTTACTCTATTGCATTTGGCATAGTCGACAGCGAGAATGATCTGTCCATGCGTTGGTTCTTTTCTAAACTGAGGGAAGTGATCGGGGAAGTCGAAGACCTTGCCTTTGTAACCGATCGAGGATAGTCTATAATAAACAGTATTGCTGAAGTTTTTTCCAAGGCACATCACGGGTATTGCATGTACCATATACAAGGTAATTTGAAGACTAGGTATCGGGGTACAAGCATCGTTTTATTGTTCAGGAGAGCAGTCGAAGGTTACAGTGCTGAAGAGTGTAATAAGTTCATGATCGAGATAGGAAGTAAATCATTACCGGCGTTAGAGTATCTGACGAACATGGGGATCGAACATTGGGCGCGATCATACTTTCCAAGACGTCGATACAACATGATGACGTCGAATAACGTGGAGTCTCTCAATGCATTTTTTAAGAAGGATCGAGAGTTACCAATTCTTGCAATGATTGAGAATATTCGTAACAAGCTACAACAGTGGTTTCATGACCGACGTGCAGCATCATAGAGTTGCACTAGCGTGTTGGCCCCAACTCAAGAGGAGAAACTATTTAAGGCAGTAGAGGTTGCGAGGAAGTTGAATGTGGAAGCACTAGATGAGTTTTGCTTCTCCGTGCAATGTGCATGTAATACGGCATATATGGTGGACTTGACTGATAACACATGCACTTGTACGAGATTTCAGTTGGAGAATTTTCCATGTGAGCATGCAGTTGCGGTAACCATGTATCGAGGCTTTGCTGCGAGAACGTTATGCTTTTTGTATTATACGACTGAGTTTTGGAAAACAGCATATGCTGAGACTATATTTCCTCTACCGAATGAAGCCGAGTGGGAAGTTCCCGAACACATTCTTCCATTTCATAATTTGTTGCCACCAGCAGTTGAATCGCGTGGTCCTGGACGTCCAAGTACATTTAGAATACCATCTATTGGAGAGTTTCCTCGACCACGTAGGTGTGGTAGGTGCAGAGCCGTAGGGCATACTCGACAATTTTGTACCAGTCAAATTCCCCTAAATGATGATTAGATAGGTACGTTAAATGAATAATATTTCCTTTTACTTTGCACTGTTCAATATTTGTTATTTATAAATCTTCGATATTCAATATTTATTCTTGATAAATAGTATTTATAATGATTCATATGAAAAAAATAATTTCGTACTCGGCCTAAGTGTAAAATAACAAAACAAAAGAATATAATTAAATTTCCAATGTGAATGTTATATACATTGAACACAAATTTAAAATCATTTCATAATCACAAAAAATAATTAAATTTACAATTGAAATGTTACATATATTTAATACAAATTTACGGGTTAACATTAAATTCGAACAAATCACATGCTAGCTTCTTTCTCCAATTCTGTATCCACGACTGATTGATTCCATCAACCTTATGCCCTATACTTAAAAATTCAACATACTTAATGGTAAATATGCTGTAGTCGCCGCTGCAATTGAACAAGAATGAATCAATTCAGTACTGTGTAACTAAAAACTAAATCTGAAAGATAAAAACAACAAAGTTCAAACACTTACCTTACGGATTGTCGCGCTGTCGTCGTGTTCCGAACAATCCGCAATTTGTCCTGTACATTTTTACCCTCTCATCTGGCCATCATAGGAACAATTATAGCCACGGACTCCAGGTTTTGCTCCAACTGGCCTTGTGTCAAACATGAATGATCTGGGTCGTACACGTATATTGTCGAGTCAGCAAAAACAATCTCCAACATAACATAGTGTTTATTGATGCACGCTGGAATGTACATATGTGTACAACCCCTCACGATTTTCCCCCGACACTCGGTGACAGTCCTATCACCCACTTGAGCATATATTCTGGCACCGTGTACTCGTTACCCATAAGTTCGAGAGACTGATACTCTATGGTAACGACACGCAAGAACTCGGTGTTTAATATGACTCGACCATGGACATCAAATGATTTTGGATGTCTTTGAGCTCGATCTCGGAGCAAGTCCATGGCTAGGTCGATGTGCTGCAGCAGGAAACACAAAAAAAGTATGAGTTATTCATTTAATAAATACAAAGTGACGTATACAAAAAATACACGAAATGAATAGTTCACTTACATCGTCGGCGAGCCAAGCTCCCGCAGTGGTGATATCGTGGAACCACTTGTAAGGGTCCGAGACCGTCCTTTGACCTATCGTGCGGCTAACTCTGTAAAAAAAAGGGAAATGTTAAAATAAGCGTAGACGAGTTAGCGTACAGTGCTTTATTAAAATCATACAATATTTACCCGGGGATACTTCTCCGCCACTCTGTCTCGAACGCTTTCCACTTGGCATTTCCACCTTCCTGAATAAGTTCGGGTGCGTCCCATCGATAAATATCCTCCTCTTGGCCTCAGCCGTGAAGGGAGAAACAACATATTGTGACGGCACTGTCAACCTCTTGCCGACCACCTACTCCGTCTTGTCAACAGCATGTCTCTTACCCTCAATCACGCTGGGCGTCCTCTCGACCTCCGGGGCCACCACCTCTGCCCCTCCCGTCGGGGCCTCCCCCTCCGTCGCCACCTCCTTCGCCCATCCCGTCGGGCCCACCCATTCCATAGACAACTACAATGACTCCAATGTCCCATCACGTCAAATATGTGGGTAACCCCTCTCTCCATCATCATCTCTGCCACCCTCTCGATCATGATCTCCGGCATC